ACTAAAAAACACCATACCCAATTCAAGCAAGCTTATAGTTTAGTTGCATATTAACTTTGATTTTTTTAATTGGATTAAGATTTTTGAATCTAGTTCATCATTATCATCATTACCCCAGTGCTGCAAAGGCTCCCACGTATGGTGGGGTCAGGGGTCGGGTGTACGCAGTCATACCCCTGTACTAAGCACAAAGAGACTGTTTTCGGATGACCCATAGGGAAAATCGCATCGAAAATTGCATTGACGGACCGCTGTTTCATAACAAAGAAGTGCAGACAACTTAGTGAGTCATTTGCTTTATTCCATCATATTCCTAAACCAAAAATATTGTCTTTGGCTCCATTGTAAATGATGGAAATATTTTCTTATCTAGTTGGTTTGTTTAAATTTGGTGTGACTTGATATGGACTGATAGATATCTATATTATGTGTATTTTAAAAATGTCAAAATTTGATTTGTTTTAAAATGATCTGGTCTGTTTAAAATCAAATCTTGTCTATGACTGAAACAAGTTCAATTAGAAACATCCTTATATGCCATGGAGAACGTTTGAAACTGCCCAAACAAATAAAGTGAATGAATAGTGTGTCCTACATATGTGTTACCCAGACCAGTTTTGTATGGCCATTGAGTTCGTCCTGCGGGCATTACACAAAAGATCTCCAAATGCTAGTAGGTGTCTAGTCTCTTTGTAATTTACAATTGTTGAGCTCCGATCTAATCTGATGATGATATTGTTTGAGATTGAAATAAGTTCTAAGTAAAAAAAAATTCCAAGTACAACACCAACTATGAGAGATAGGGGGCTAACCTAGGCCTCACTCTATCCTAAATTCACAAAATGTTTTAGCTATTTTTATAAAACTTCCTTCGATATCCAAAAAAAATTGTACCAATCCAGTGCTCTGCTTATGCCCGTAAACCCTAACTACACTAATTCCTATCACTAATTCCTATAAATAGAAATAAAAATTTGAAAAATGTCTTGCTTTAAAAATGTGCACCCTGTAGTCCTATATAACAAAAAAAGGAGTTCATACTTTGTGCAAAACTTTAATCTTTATACAAAACATTTGTGTGATATACGATAGTATTATACAAATCATTATAGGGAGTACGTATTATATAAGTGATATTTAAGCATTGTCGTTAAATATGTAAAATAAAAAAGCATTATCGTTAATTGAAGGTTTGTTGCCGGATCTTTAAATTGCACACTGCACATCACATCAACTGTTTTATAATAAAAAGTAATAATTGTGTATAATAAACAATAATTAAATAATGTTTTTAGTGAAAAAATAGCAACAAACGTTTTTTTTCAAAAAGTTGCAACACAACAACATTATTTTTACGAACATATAGTCAAACTTAAATACTCCGTAATTGAATTGTTTAAATAAAGCATAAAAAAGAATCATTTTGTTTTCAAAAAGTGGCAACACTAGCGTCTTTTCAAAAAGTTGCAACACATGCAACAACATAATTTTTAAATTTTCTACACATATTTTAGTTGTGTTACATAGGTTACACATATTTTAAAGAAAAATAACTTTTTTTTTTGTTGATCACTATTCAATATTTATAATTTGGCTGAAATTTTCTCATCTCATATAATCTAGTATGATAAATTTCTATTTTATGTTTTTTTTTTTACAATTGTCGAAATTTAATCTGATGTAATTTAATTTATTTAAATCTAGTTTGATACGATTTAATATGATCTAGTTCCAGTCTGAAACTAAAAACATTATACCAAGAGTAATTGTTAATTAACTATATTTGTTGGTCGAAAAATGTGCTTGTTTTATTAATTTTAATTATTATTTATTTTAGAATTTAAAGTTGAGTAATGGTTAGCGTGTATATGCAAACACTATGATGATTTTGAACTTTAAATCGTTAAACCTTAAACCAACATGAGAGAGTAATTAACACAGAGTAATTAATTAATTTTGTTTCTAGATTGTTCTTAATGCATATAAGTTGTAAGTTGATTAGGAGAAGTATTAGAAACTTGAACATATGAAGGGACGTATATACGGTATACTCACGAACCAAATTGACTACAATCCTAACCATAGTGAGTCGGCCCGAACCTTCTATAAATTGACCCACACTGTTACGGCTTCCCTTCACAGCTTTTTTCTCCAGCGCTATCGTTCTTTCTCTCTCTTAGGGCTACAGATTTTTAGATCCGACCTTCGTAATCCATCTCCACCATGTCTACCTCGAAGATGATAGTCCTCAAGAGCTCCGACGGCGAGACCTTCGAGGTCGAAGTGATGGTGGCTGAGCAGTCTCAGACGATCAAGCACATGATTGACGACGACTGCGCCGATACTGTCATCCCCCTCCCCAACGTCACCAGCAAGATTCTCGCGAAGGTCATTGAGTACTGCAAACGCCATGTCGAGGCTGGTAAGACAGAGGATAAGCCTAGCGAGGACGACCTCAAGTCGTTCGATGCTGAGTTCGTCAAAGTTGACCAGGGAACCCTATTCGATCTCATCTTGGTATGGCTCTCTCTCCGATTCTTATTGTGGTCCATGTGTATTTGTTTGGTAACGGATATTAAGCTGTTTCATCTGATGAGTATACGGCTGGTGCTGATTTGATGTTAGGGTTTATCGTGATCGTTTGCGATTTTGGTCATAGGCTGCCTGTGTTGATCTCGATTGCTTTACATTGATATTAATCTTCGTGTGCCTTTTTCAAAATTTATGTATCATTTCTTTTTTTAAAATGTGGTTTGATTTATCCATGACCATCACCTTCACAGATGAGTGATTGCTTTATTCAATAAGGGATTTGAAACTGCATACGCTTTTCTATATGTGGGTGATGAGCCGATTGCTTTTTAGATTTCCTTTACTAACACTACTGGTTTGGCACTGTTCAAATACAATCTGGCTTTAAAGCTTTATTTCACTGTTTTGGTTGCCCAATTCATATGTTGTGTTTAAGTATTGGTGTATAATCTATTTGAACCATTGAGACATCACGTATTCTTGTACGTTTTTGCTCTTTCCTGTTTTATGATTATTATGTATTGGGTAGTTTATATCTTTGTCACAATGTCACTGCTTTAGATCAAAAGTTTGTACTTTATGCTAAATTGTGATATGTATTCTAAATGTTAATCTATATTAAGAATACAAAACATGGTATATTGCCTATGATGTTTGCATTTTTTGTGGTAATTTAATGTATTACCATTTGGATTGTAGGCTGCCAATTACCTCAACATAAAGAGCTTGCTTGATCTCACCTGTCAAACTGTTGCTGACATGATCAAGGGAAAGACACCAGAGGAGATCCGCAAAACATTTAACATCAAGAATGACTTCACACCAGAGGAAGAAGAGGAGGTCAGAAGGGAGAATGCTTGGGCATTTGAGTGAACATCAAGTCACCCTGTTTACTTGTTGCTTTAATCGTGTTTTGCTGCTATATATCCTCTAGTAGATTCTCCAAGGGAAACTCTTTTATGTGGTAGTAGTAAATATGACTGCTCTAGTACTCTATTTTGCTATGGGCTCAGAACGTGTGGTATTCGGCTCTCTCTGTCAAGAGAGTAGTTTGAATCTTTGTTATCCCTTATCATCCTATTGTTCCTATCGTTTTAATTTTATGAAATTGCCCTATTTTTCAATGCTATTCATTTACTGCCAGCTTTCAGTATCTTCTTCTCTACTAGTTGAGCACAATTAACCTAACTAGTTCATTACTGCATTCAAGAAAGGCATTATTATAATAATAAGAGACAATTGAAGAAATCTTCACGCGTACGGTCTTTAGCTTGTAAACTTCTTTCCCAATCACTTCACAGTTCACACGCTGTACTGGTTTGTGGGTGAGTCTAATTGAGGAGCTAAGGTTATGTTTGTGACAACCAGCACAAATAATCGAGCCGGAGTCATTGTAAGCTCGAGCTTGAGCCCAAGTCGACCCAATGTAGTTTGAGTTTGTCATATCAAGCCCTGTCCCAACTGTGAGTAGGTTGAGTTTTTTTAGAGCTAGACTCGTTTATCATATCAAGCTTGAGCTCATTGTAACTTGTAAGCTCGAGCTTGAGCCCAAGTCGACCCAATGTAGTTTGAGTTTGTCATATCAAGCCCTGTCCCAACTGTGAGTAGGTTTAGTTTTTTAGAGCTAGACTCGTTTATCATATCAAGCTTGAGCTTGATTGATTTGTTTATTTTCTAATAAAGTCAAATTCAAACCTTAATGCGTTGAGCTCTAGCCTTGGCGAACTGAGTCGGGCTCATGACAGCACTAATCGTAGCTACTCACCAGAAAAGTGTGCTTTGTAGTTTGTTGGTGATGCGTAAGAGAAACCTTTACATTGATATATTTGAGCAGTACAGTTTTACACTTCAAATCTAAAACAGGCAGTTGTGTATAGAATATATATATAATATAGATATAGATACATCACAATAAATCCTTCCCATGCGCAATAATACTAGGGTGATCCCAGTTTTTAACTTTTATGCGTTTAACTATTAGAGGCAGCAGCACAATCGGCCAGCTTTAAATCTTTCTAATCATTTACCACTACAATGGCTTTAAACCCCAAGTTTTAAGACAATCCGAGATGACGGGTGATATTATTTATCTCAATTCAAATGTATGTTTAATTTTTCTCTCTCTCAAGCGTCACAAAGACACAAACAAAACCAAGAATTGGTCACTTTGGCTTTCCCCAAAAGCAACTTCACCAATGTCAACGTGATTAGAAGGGGAGTACAACAAAGATTGGAACTTCTAGTCTAATAGAATTAGTAATGTAGATGTTGTATACTTTGTATTCATGCAACAAGCCCCTTATTAAAATAGATAAAACACAAAATTTGTATTGCTTGCAACAATTAATTAATAAAATGATTTATTAGCAAAATAAATGGAAGAAAAACTCGGGCATCTAACAAACTAGATATCTCTCTTTCCTCATGCATATTGTGCTGCTCATCTACCCATATTTTTGGGTAAACATATGTGATGTGCTATATCAATATATCACTCATATCAGTATAAACACTACATACTAGAAAAGCTTATAATAATGTATAGTTGAAGAAATCTGCAAAATTTTGTAATATTAGACAAGACACATTCTTTTGGACTCGAGCTGCAATCTTCAAGGTTAAGTGTGTTGTCATTCATTCCCTTTCTTACCTGTGTTTGAACCCCAACCAGGAAAAAAAAGGAATTGATTCTGTTATAGTGCACAAGTATTTCTGAGTCACTTGTTAGCTTTATAACTTTAATCATGTTTTCTTTTATACTGCACTACTTTTTGTACTCAAACAAAAGGCTGATATCATGTTTCTGTTCCTAAAAGGTACAAGAGAAGTGGTTATATGATGCTGCTGGGGCAAAGTATAGTGGAAAGGCTAAGGCCCATAGTGGGACCAAAGAATTGGGATTATTGTGTGTGTTGGAAGATGAGTGAAGATCAGAGGTTTCTTGAGTGGATGTGTTGCTGCTGTGCTGGCGCTACTGATGGGGCCCACAATTGCGACGAAGAGTTTCTTTACCCAGCTTGTTCTTCTTCTTCATCTTCTTCTTTACCTTGCAGAGATGTCATAAATCAGCATCCCCGGACTAAATCTTGCGATTTACTGTCACTATTGCCCACCTCCTTCATTCTCGATTCTGGGTACTATCTGTATCTTTTTTTTTTATTTAAATTCAATCGCTTAAGATTGAAAACTAAAATCTCCAATCGGGTACTATCTATACCTATGTCTATATATATCTATACCTATATCTATATTTATAACTATATCTATATATGATTCAAATTAGAAAGAAATGTAATGCCCAGTTTACCCAAGGTTAATTTGACGATACTACTGAATCTACTGAATTTTCTATAAGGTAATATCCATTTCAACAACAAAAAGCCAAAAGCTATTTGTGCTGGTCATTCTACTAAACAGAACTTTATAATTGCAGGGTGTATGCACAAGCAATTGTATCAAACCAACCAAAATGGTTGAATTTCTCACAGCTCTTAGAATCAAATGATTCTAATGTAAGTACGTGTCTGGGTATATACACATATATAAAGCACACATATATCTTTACATAATACTACGTATATAGGAGTAGAAAATTTTCTCTGCTCTCGTTTCTTAACAATCCTGTTTTTGCAGGAAATAATTGGGACCCGTGTGTTGATCCCACAACCAGTTGGACTAATTGAGCTATTTACTGCAAAACTGGTGCCTGAAGATCAACAAGTGATAGACTTTGTCTCAGGTACATGCAGCATATACTTGGATCAGCAAGCATGCATGATGATGAACTCAAGTGGTGGCATTCTAGCCAATGGTCATAATAACGGAGGGGATAATGATCAAATGGACGATCCTCACCATCTCTTCTCGCCTTCCTCCTCAAATCTATCTTCTCTGCCTATGAGTTTTCTCCCACAGATGAGTAGTTCTAGCATGTTAATGCAGAACACGGGTGAATTGAATGGCTTCAGGATGGAGAGTGGATTAGATAATGAGATGGATGTGGTGGTGGTGCAGAAGCAAATGATGATGGAGAAAAAAGATGAAGGAGGACTTGATGATGAATCATCATATAACAGACAGGAAAATGGTCAGTCACACTCCATATCCGATAGTGATCAGAATGAGGAAGAAGATGATGGAAAGTACAGGAGGAGGAGTGGGAAGGGTAATCAATCCAAGAACCTTGTGGCTGAGAGGAAGAGAAGGAAGAAACTTAACGAAAGGCTCTACGCTCTTCGTGCCTTGGTCCCAAACATTTCCAAGGTTATTCACTTGCTTAGAGTTTTTTCTTCCTTCCCTGTATTCAATTACACTCCAGTTTTATTAGATCCTCAACAAGGTTATTTGCAGTTCTTAAAACAAAAAGTTTAGGAACAGAGAATAGTTGGAGACTTGGAGTTAATAGATGAAAAATTAGAAAAGTAATAAATAGATGTTTTTTATGTATTTTGATATCATAGCATATTTCAAATCATGAAAGAGGAGCAAATTTAACAACATTCTAAAGAAGGAAGAGGAACCAACTATGTGATAACATCACCTATTGAATAATCTTGATATGAGCTAGACCCAATTTAGCATGGCATTAACTTGGACGCATACGTTCACAACTTATCAAACCACACAAACTTACGGGTTGTGGGGGTGTTGAGTGTTGACTACCTGTCTACCTCACATCAATGGTTTACTATGTTCGAGTCTACATTGTGTTTGGGTATTGGATATAATGTGTAAGTGTGACATAAACATCAAAACTCACCTTTTAAGGACTTTTTTTTGGTGTGAGTTAAGCACAGACCTGAATACACCCATGTAAAATATTTTAACTCGTTTAAATTTAAATCATATTGATAGTTGGATAGAGCTTCCATACTCGGAGATGCAATAGAGTATGTGATGGAGTTGCAAAAGGAGGCAACAGATCTTCAAAATGAGCTAGAATTGAACTCTGATGATGATGAGGAAGCAGCAGGAGGTAGAAAGCGAAACAATCTAAGCAGAACAGAAGACAGGAATGGGATTCCCCGGGTCCTGAAATCTGAACGAGAAAAACTTTCTTCAGTTCTTGAATCAGAGAAAACAGATGACAAAGTCCAACAAATGGAGGTATAATATATACTATGGTAGTTCATACATTCTCTCTTCTTGTGTTGTGAATAAAATTAAGTTTAGGTCATCGCCCATGAATGTAATGCAGCCTCAAGTGGAAGTAGCACAGCTGGATGGGAGTGAGTTTCTGGTGAAGGTGTTCTGTGAACACAAGCCGGGTGGATTTGTGAGGTTGATGGAAGCTCTGGATTCTCTAGGCCTGGAGGTCACAAATGTGAACACCACACGACACACCTGTCTAGTGTCAAACAACTTCAAAGTTGAGGTATGCTATTATGCTTCAAGAACTACTTGTCAGACATTATGTCGAACACCTATGATACAAAGATTTCGGATTTTGTGCAGAAAAGGGATAGCGAACTGGTACAAGCGGATCACGTTCGGGAGTCCCTATTGGAGCTGACGCGAAGCACTGCTGGGAGAGGGTGGCCTTCGGAGATGGGTAGAGAGGGTCTGGAGAGCAGCGATCTCGGCGGCGGAATGGAACAGAACCACCACCACCGGCAGCACCACCTCAACCACCATCTTCACCACCAGCTCAACAATTCCCACCACCTCCATCACCTGCATAACTAAACCAGAAGGGGCTGAATGCCCATTTCTGTACGACGATGTCATAACAAAGTTTGAACCATAATAATTCCGACTTCCAAGCAACATATTGGAGTCTGGTTTAGCCATTCAAAAATTAATCATATTAAGGCAATTTTTCCAACTGCTCCGATGATTTCATGAAGAAAAGAAAATGAGATAAAATGAACATTTTTTACCATCCAACTTTAAATTAAACGGCTTGTAAGATGGAAAGAATCAACCCTGCAGCACTCTGGATCAAACTCAGTCCGCATAAGACATACTCCCTTTGTATAAGTTGCTACTTTTCTTATTTGGAAAGTTTTCATTTCCTTAAATTAACAGTGCAAAACATTGTTAAATAATGTCGAAACAATGTCAAAACAGTAAAATTTACCCCTGTTAAGTTTACTTGCATAAAAGTGTGTGAAAGTCACATGAGGAACTTCTTTCGGGGACGGAAGGAGTAATTAAGATTTTGAGTTCTAACTTTTAATGACACCTTACTCGGATTTGGGATGTGAACGTTAAAAGTTTGCACCACGAACAAACAACTTTATTGTTCAATCCCCTTGGAAAGTGAACATTTTGCAGGGGTCAGCAAAAACCTTTATTGGATTACAGTATACAAATTAAAACTCGTGCCATTTCTTGCTCCCCAAATGAAGAAAATACCTCGATCACTTCAGTATTTATGGAATAAAACTTGATCCAACCAAAATACTATATGCGGTGGATAACTTTTATAGAGAGCACTTCTCCTGATTTTGTTATAAGAGGGACAGGTTATAAATCTAATGAATTTATAGAGTTTGATTCAAGAATAAATTACCCAAATTTATTATGACATAAATATTACTCTATCAAATTTGGTATGAGATTTTTCGAGTGAGATGGATAAAAAGTGATCATTGTAACTGTACAAAGGGAGAGCATGCTTTTCTGACATGTTGTTGCTTTTGATGTGTTTCGCGGAGGATACTATTATTACTGTTTATTCTCTTTGTTTTTTTTTTTATTTAGAATTTGTCATGTTATTATTTGTTTCTGTTTCGTTCAAAACTTTGAAGAGTAGGGTGAGCGATGAGGGTTTCTTTTCGCTCATTGTCGGCTCAGTTGTGCCCATGATAAGATCTACAAATTTTATTGCTTATTTGCTTCTGTGAAGGTAATAAACTTCAAGTCTGGTTCAAAGGCTAGTGATCTGGATGCGACTCTTTGTCACTCTGTTACTGATCTGAACTCTAATTTCTTGACAATATAAATCACTCTTCCCAAAAGAAATTGTACAAGGGAGAGAGTGGTTTTTAAACAACATCAAGTTCAGTAAAAGTGATGGAATTAGTATGTTTTAAGAGGTTCAATATTCTTTTTCATGCTCCGTTGGGTAGTATGTCTATGGGTACTTCGAAGTTTGTACTAAAAGCATTTCCTAAAGGGATAATTTGAGTTTGCAGTCCATATTATTATCTAAATTGGACTTTGCAGACTATTTTAAAAAAATCTTTGTTTTTGCACACCAATCCCATATGAAAAGACAAAATGCTCTCAATCAGGAATATGTTGAAGGTCAACAATATTGTTAATGTAGGGGCAATTTTGTCTTTTCATATGGTGTTGGGGTGCAAAAAATAAGAGTTTTAAAAACATGGTGCAAAGTCCAATTTAGATAATAATTTGGGGTGCAAACTCAAATTTCCCCTTCCCAAAACTTAGTTCTGCATGAATGCTTTTTAGATGAACAGCCCAACATATCAAAGAATCCAATTCTCAAGCCTATTTAGCCCAACATGTTTTTCATTTAATGAAACCAAGAAAAGCTCTAATGGCGGCCCAGAACGGTAATTTTCTGCCTCCGTTGTTTTCCAGCCTTTAAGTCAAGCACACCATCTCCTGCTTCCAAGCTAATCTAATTGTACGAAACATTAAAACCCTAGCAAAAACCCCTCATCTCCACACTCGGATTCAGAAATCTACATATTATTATAGGAGAAAAGTAATGGCAGGAGGAAGGTTTAAACAATTGTTCAAGAAGTACGGAAAGGTAGCATTGGGGGTTCACTTTTCAGTTTCGGCCGCTTCCATCACCGGTCTCTATATCGCCGTCAAGAGCAATGTCGACGTCGAGTCCATGATCGAGAGAGTCGGCCTATTTAAACCCAAAGAAGAAGAACTGCCGCCTCAAAATCCGGAGTTGATCGGCGACGATCCGGCTGCTCAGCCGAAGGCGAGGAATCGGACTGCTGAGTTGGCGGCTTCCAGCGGCGGCGCCATCGCTCTTGCGGTGCTGCTCAATAAGGCCCTCTTCCCTGTTCGGGTCCCGATAACTATAGCTCTCACTCCCCCAGTCGCCAGGTTCCTTGCAAAGCGGAACATTTTTAAGAGCTCTGTATGAAAATTTTGTTTGTATCATCTATTTTGATCTTCTCAATCTATGAAAGCTATATATTTGTTCGTTGCAGATTTTTTAGCTTGTACTGAATACTGATAGATGCTAAGAACATAATCCATTTTGAGTAAAGAAGAAATTACCCATTGCAACTATTTGAACAGTGATGATATACATAAGCAATGACATTGTCTGCAATTAAATAAAACCTTTTTTATCTTCACACTTGATTGAAAGAGAGTGAGATTTCATCTCAAATCATTACTGGAGTTGAACCCAAGACCTCTTCCTTGTGGCACCTTCTTGTTAGATGAGTTGCACCCTGGTGTGAAGTCTTTTTTATAAGGTCACTGTTAAACTTTGCCCTGGGAATTGCTGGCTTGCTGCCATTTAAATTTGCAGTAACTGATCAAGTAGTATGATTTGATCTTATATTATATTCCTACTTCTTTCTTAGACAAACATCAAGAGGAACTTTGCTTGAAAATGTTGTGCTAAGCTTATGCAATCCAGGACATTTGAGTTGGATTTGATATAAGCTTCTGCATCTTCGTAAACTACTTGATTGAAATTATCAGTGTGCCTCACTGTTAACCTCTTTACCTCTTCAGAGCGTTTGGAACTTCTAGATGAAACTGGCACATATTGTTTAGTCTGGTAGGGCGTATTATATTCTTAGAAAACGCTTTTTCTTTTTGCAATTTCATTTTATGAATAAACAAGTTATTGAATAAATAGCAAGGGAAAATACAAACTATGCAGTATATTGTTAGAAAGGGTAGTGTAGTAAGTGAAATAATTTTGTGTCATTTTTACATCCTTATCTGTGCTAGACCAAGCTTGTGAAGATGTATGGGTTCAATACTCCAATATTTGGACCTTCCAATTACATACTTATTTTTGCTCTTTAGACTCCTATTTATTTGTGTTTGTTAAAATATTTGGAATGAAACTACAAAATGCCGAAGGCCTAAAAGAGAAACTGAAAAGTAAAGTGTGCGATTGCGAATATAAATATTCTGTAAAAAGAATATGGTTTCATTTAAGACGTTTGAAGTGATATTTTTATGTTTTTACATTCAATTTGATAGTTATCAATTTTGTTTAAAAATTCCAACTAATCTCATTATCAACCAATCCTTGTTTTTTATAATGGGTTTTTTCTAGTTTTGTATTTCATTTATGGTTTCTGGGTATTAGGAATGTATAAATATATTTCCCTGAATTGTTAGCAGGTAGTGGTGCATAACCTACATATACACAACCTCTAGTAAGGAGCCAACCCGCCTTGAACTGAATCCATCTATGGGTATTGTTTGTCTGTGTGTGGGTGTTTAAGAATGTGTATTGACTAGCTCGTGTTATGGTCATCAGGAAAACTAAAATTGAAATTGGCTCTATACTACTCCCTCCGTCCCATTTTGGATGTCCTACTTTCCTTTTTTGGTTGTCTGATAAGTCCGTATTTAGACACGCATTTGATGCGTGTTGGAGTTGGATTTTGATGGTTTTCCCAGCTTTAAGGTGTTGCAAGTCTCAATTTTAGCTCAAGTTATGTTTATCGGGCGTTGGTTCGAGTTTTGTGTTGTTTGTAGTCAAAATCAGGGAATTTGAGTCCGGCACCGGCACTTGAGGAACAATCGGGATGATTTGAGAAGCATTTGAGAATGATTTGATAGCTTTGGAGGTCACCGGAAGATTCACAATGAAGATTTGAAGGAAAAAGAGCTCTAGGACTGGCTTCGGGATAAAAAAGAAGACAAATAGAGCTTGAAAACGACGATCAGGATGACCTTCTGTCAATCGTTCAATCATATCTCTTTGTAGAAACAACCAATGGACACGATTCAAGTTTCATAGGAAAGCCAACTTCAAGGGCTACAAATCATATGAAGACACCTTTGCGAGAATCTGAGAGGAAGAAGGTGAAAACAGACGATGAAGTCAGATGATCTCTGCTGCGATTTCAGAAAGACACCTTCCACCGTTTTGATCATATCTCTTGATTGGATGCTTCAAATCACATTCGGCCAATTGGGGTGGATAGAGGACTTCATTATCTACAACTTTCATGAAGGAAGTTTTGTCAAATTCGGAAGTTAAGTAGGCACGATCGTGCCCTCAAAGTCAGACACGATCGTGCGAGAAGAGAAAACACGGAGGAGTTACTGCCAGCCAGGCACGATCGTGCCTGGAGGGAGGCACGATCGTGCCTGCCCAAAATGCGCGTTTTTGCTCCGGAGGCACGATCGAAGGCACGATCGTGCCTGGGATCGTGTCTGGCTCCGAAAATCCTAATTCAACTCAAATTTCACCCGATTTTTCTATTTAAAGAGCCTGTAAACCCCCGTTTTCAAGGGGGGAGCTTAAAGAGAGTGCCTAGCACGAATTTTAGAGGGCTTTTCAGCCTTGTTCATCAATCTTTTGGTATTCTTTGTAAGTTCCACCTTTTTAATTAATGACAATTAATTCTTTTTATTCCAATTCTATTGATTCTTCAATTATGAATTGTGAGTAGTTTTAATTAGGGATTTGGGATTGATGAAGGGGTTAATCATGATGTATGGCTAGATTCTTTTCGGTTTAATTGCATGAATGCCGTTTAATTTGTGTTTGAATAATTTAATTGATATCTTTTGTAACCTAGAATCGCGACTAGAATTACAATTGCATGTAGAATAAATTAAGAGAGATCTAATTTGTTCTAGGACACATTCACACACACTTAATCGTTCGCTAAGAGATTAGTAGTGATTAAGGGGCCGTAAGCTCGCTCGTCTTGGCAATAATTTAGGATCCTGTCGCATGAGAGATCAGTCTGGTCCCCCTAAAGTATTGTACTCTACGCCGCGAGAGCGGTAAGAACTTAGTAATGATTAGCTAGGCTCAATTAAATTAATTTCATGTAATTAGGCCTGATCTGCCAGAAATCTGGTTACCCCGGAATCGATCCCTGTTCCCTTCGTCATTAATTAGAAAGAACCCCCTAGTTTAATTGTTCGCATTAGTTTTATTTTCCAAACCAACCAATCTCGCACGACGTTTTTATTTTATTTTCTTTTTAATCGCTGAATTTAATTAATTATTAATTCCCTTTTGTCCGTCCCTGTGGAGACGATACTCGTACTTACACCACTATATTACGATCTATTTTAAGTGCGAGAAAACACACATCAGTTTAAGTCCTTCTGATCAGTAGCTAGCTTATTTGTGTATGCTGTCATTACTTTGAGGATGTTGTGAATAATTTTGTCAAATAGTTTAGTCTGAGTACAAAGGTGTAGTTTAGGGAAGAATTTTCTTGGTTTAAATTGTCTGTCCTGTGAATATCCCTTTAACTACGTGAGTATGCTAACTGTTTTAAATTCCGTGTGGTGATTATCGTAAGTCCCGTTGTTCGATTTGCTTGAGGACAAGCAAAAGCTTAAGTGTGGGGGAATCTGATAAGTCCGTATTTAGACACGCATTTGATGCGTGTTGGAGTTGGATTTTGATGGTTTTCCTGGCTTTAAGGCGTTGCAAGTCTCAATTTTAGCTCAAGCTGTGTTTAACAGGCGTTGGATCAAGTTTCATTGCAATTGGAGGTGATTTGAAGAAATTAAAGTCCGGCAATCGGTGCTTGAGAGGCATTCGGGAAGGGTTTGAAGGCATTCGAGAGAGATTTGGAAGATTTGGAGGCCACCGGGCGATTCACGACGAAATTCTGGTGAAGAAAGAGCATTTGGATCGACGTCATAGGCATTCGGGAGCATTCGGAACGAGAAACGAAGAAAAACGGTGAAGAAAAGGGCAGGCACGGCCGTGCCTAGGCCAGGCACGATCGTGCCTGCCATCTAAATCAACACGGAGCTACTGGTAGCCAGACACGATCGTGTCCGGTGCAGGCACGATCGTGTCTGCAAAATTTTTACGCGTCCCTTCCGCAGGCACGGTCGCAGGCACGATCGTGCCTGGCACCGTGTCTGGCCCCGTTTTGTCCTAATTCAGCTCAAATTCTCCTGATTTCTATAAATAAGGCCTCCATACCCACTTTTCGGGGTTACGAACATTACGGAGAGGCCTAGGGACGAATTTACTTGCGTTTTTACGATTGTTTACTCCAAGACCCTGGGATTATTTGTAAGTTCATCTTTTTAATTAATGACAATTATTTCTATTCATCCCAATTCTGTTGATTCTTCAATTATGAATTGTTAGTAGTTTAATTAGGGATTTGGGGTTGATAAAGGGGTTAATCATGATTGATGGCTAGATTCTTTTCGGTTTAATTGCATGAATGCCGTTTAATTTGTGTTTGAGTAATTTAATTGATATCTTTTGTAACCTAGACTGCAGCTAGAATTACAATTGCATGTAGAATGAATTAAGAGAGATCTAATTTGTTCTAGGACACATTCACACACACTTAATCGTTCGCTAAGAGATTAGTAGCGATTAAGGGGCCGTAAGCTCGCTCGTCTTGGCAATAATTTAGGATCCTGTCGCATGAGAGATCAGCCTGGTCCCCTAAATTATTGTACTCTACGCCGCGAGAGCGGTAAGAACTTAGTAATGATTAGCTAGGCTCAATTAAATCAATTTCATGTAATTAGGCCTGATCTGCCAGAAATCTGGTTACCCCGGAATCAATCCCTGTTCCCTTCGTCGTTAATTGAGAAGAAACCAATCTTTTATTTTCATCGCTCATTAGCATTAGTTTAATTTTAATTCACCAATCAAATCTCGCACACTTGCATTTATTTATTTTATTTCTTTTTAATCGCTGAATTTAGTTAATCTTTAATTCCCTTTTGTCCGTCCCTGTGGAGACGATACTCGTACTTACACCGCTATATTACGATCTATTTTAAGTGCGAGAAAACTCACATCATTGTCCCAAAATGAATGTCTTGTTTCTTTTTTTGGCAAGAAAATTGCGGTTCTTATCATTTCACTTTATTCTACTCAAATCTCAACCACAACTTTTACTTTTCAATCACTTTATTAATAAGCGTGCCAAATTGAAAGTAGACAACCATTATGGGACGGAGTAGTATGACATTACTTTGGCATTCACAGTTGAAGTTTAGTTTATGTTATGTGTTTCTAATTATACCGGTTTTCGTCTAAGATCAAATTAGAATTTCATAGTGATAAAAGACACACAAAACAAACATAAATAAGATCACATGAAAAAATAAGACCAGACCAATTCAAATCAAATTAAAAAAACACTCCTATGACTTTTTGATGTACTATAACATATATTTTTGAAAAAAAAAACCCTATCTTTTTTCTGTACATGTCATTGCCACCTTCCTCGTATGATCAAGTATGGTGGTGCTCGTACAACAGTTCAATGCTGTCGGAATTCACACAAATATGGAATTGGTCACTTTCCAATTTCCCACTAAAAAGGGTTAAAAGGCTCGAACATAGGGATTGAAATGTAGTCACTAAATACTTGTAGTGAAGTAAATTTTAAAAAGCCGACATCTCATCTCTAAAGGTAGTTAGAAGACTCAGAACCAACTAAACGATTACACATTGATAGAGATAGGGATGGCCTCGGGCCGGTTCGGGCCCGGCCGGTTCGGGCCCGGTTCAGGCCTGAGCCCGGCCGGTTCGGGCCCGGTTCGGGCCTGGACCCGGCCGAGCCTCGGGTCTGTTTTGTTGGGCCCGAGCCCGAACCGGTGGCCACCGGTTCCGGGCCGGTTCGCCAAAAACTGTAACCGATCCCGGAACCGCCCAAGCCCCCGGGCCTAGGCCCGAACCAGACCCGGACCCGGAAAACCGGGCCGGGCCGGTCCCGCACAGTAGCGGGCCGGGCCGGGCGGCCCGAACCGGGGCCATCCCTAGATAGAGAGAATGAGACCTCCATCAAGTTGAACCCATCTCTAAAGGTAGCCAAAATTGACCGGACGATTACACATTAATGGTAAGAGGTAGAGATGACAATGAGGCGGATCGGGGACGGTTATGCATATAACCGTACCCGCCCCGTTGGGTAACGTCCCCGCCCCGTAACCGCCCCATTACCCAACGGATAATTTTTATCCAAACCATATCCGCCCCAACGGGTAACGGGTAAAATCGCGGGTAACCGCGGGTTACCACTTTATTAGATATGTCATAGATATTTTAATATAAAAATAAATATTTAAAAGACAAAAAAAAAAGATATCGCCTAAATGATTCTAGACGTGAGATGTCACTTAAAAGTTTCGTGCATCTACAAGACAAAAAAAAGGCAACCTAAAATAATTTGAACATAAAATACTTAAATTGAAAAATAATTAATCAAGAAAAAGGAAAAGAATCAAACGAAACTATTAAAATTTATTATGAACTTTGTTCACATATTATACGTAGTATTAGTGCATCCATAGATACACATTGAAAGGAGAAAAATGTCACATTTGATCAATCATAGGACAAATACTATGAAAAAATGTAATCAAAATATAACTAAAAGCAAACGGGGCGAGTACGGGCGGGTAATGGGGCGAGCATGTATAAAACTGTAACCACCCCGTTACCCATAAAAATAAAACGGGTATTCCCCGCCCCATGCCCCCATACCCGTTACCCGGTCAATGCGGTTTTCCCCGTTTTGACCGGAGCGGTTCGGTGCGGGTATCCATTGGATCACCACAATTGCCATCCCTAGTAAGAGGGAATGAGACCTCCATCAAGTTGAACTTGGGACCTTTTCTTTGCGACACCCTCTTCCTAGATCCTACTAAGTGTGCTATGCCCAGTACCAATTTTAGCTACTTGTGGACCTCTCCAAGGACTAATTTTATAATGGCCACTACCAATTTCTTGATTTTAGGCATCTACTAGTCTAATCTGTTTAAATCTGATCTAGTCTAATACGGAGTAAATGTTTGTTCTTCATGTACTTCATAACTAAAGAAGTTTGATACTCCCCCGTCCCTTAAAACTTTGCCAACTTTCTTTTATTGGATATCTAACTAACTTTGCCACTTTTCTTTCATGTAAAGAATTTGTGGTTCCAGTTTATTCTCTCTCCTCTACACAAAATTCAACCACAATATTTTTACTTTATTAATCCTCGTGCCGGTCAAACTTGGCAAAGCTTCAAGGCACGGAAGGAGTGACATAATCTATTTAAATAAACAGTCTGATCTGTTCTATTTAAGTTTGGTCTGAGCCTGAAAAACAGCCCAAAAGCAAAATAACGGTAAAAATCTAAGGGCAAAAAGTGCAGGCCCGGTATTTGTCCAAGATTTGCAAAAATAAAACCAATATGACTGGTTACGCAGTAAAAGATAAGCAAAGAAAAATCAAAAGAATCAATTCTTAGTGCGACAAGTAACACTTCAATACACAAGCAAAGACCACCCTTCTTAGTCTGATGTTGATATAGGGATATGTATGACGATGAAATAATAGAAAAAGATGCAGACACATTGCAGGTGTTGGTACACTAAAGAAGCAGTCAAGCAAACTCTCTTCTTCAAAAGTCATCATCATCCTCCTCAGCAATGTGCTTGGCAAGTTCTTGTTCTTGCTGCTGTCTCTCTCTCCTTTTCTCCGCACTCTCTTTCTCCTTGTGGGAATTAGGAGGGAACCGAAGGGCACGAACTGCCTCATTGTGCATGTTAAGACAGAACGAAATTCTGGAGTTGAAAGCCATCTGAGGCTCATTCGTGGAGTATACATCCCCTGTCTCCTTGGACACCATATACCCATTAGTGTGATCCAATGTGGCATCTATCGCCCCGTCGCGAATAGCTTTGGCCACTATGCACTCCGCATCAGCGATAGGGTTTGCAGAATCCAACCTTAGCTTCTTTGCCACGTCAGCTAATGAGATTCTCGAGTACGCAATGCTGATGTTGCGTAACCCTGTACGAATGACATTGTGTCGGAGCCTGACAATCAGATTGTTGGTCCTGTCCATGCTAAAAGTGGATGAGAACTTCTCAGCTACTGACCTAAACAACTCCAAATCTCCAATGCGGACAGCCTGAAGAAACAGTGATCGTTATTAGATGCATATATGTTTACAGAGTATGGTAGGGAGAGAAGTAGGGATATGAAGAGTAGAAGTAGGTAAGAAATAAAAGTTGTTTGGGTTAAAGAGAAATGGAGAAGAACACTACTCTGTTATATTCAAAGTGGCTTTGTATGTGAAAAAAACTTAAACAGCATAATGATGGTATTCACATTCAATTCTACATGTAGCATGGAAATCGTAGGTTTGGAACACTAATGTTGTCACAAATTTCTACCATTTCTCTTTTATACGAACCAAGAAATAATTTGCAAACGCAAAAATCCCTTCCTTTATCTCCTCTTCAAATATTTTCATTCTAATTCCTTTGTAATTTGTTAGAGTATCAGGGTTCTCGAGAAGTCTTCATTGTTTGATAATAATTCGAGTAAAGTTAAAAAATGTAGAGTAATACAAGGGAAAAATAATAGGAAGGAGAGCAAGGAGAAAATTTGGAAAAAGAGGAAATGTGGAGTATGATAAAAGATGGGCTACAAGTCTACAACAAAATAAATTTATTTAATATTTTTTATACCCATTTTTGAAACACATAAAAATGTTCATGTCCCTTAACCTAGAACTAACCTTGATTCAAACCTAAAGTACGAGTGTTCAAGCCCTAGCCCCACATAAAGCTTGAAGAAGGCAATGTGGAGACCACCAAGTGTTGTTTTGAAAAACATCAATTTATTGGTTTCAAACTTAAGGCCTAGTGGTCAGCATTGAATATGTAAGGATTTGACCTGTTAGTCCTTTAGATTATTACACACAACATCAATGTGTAGAGATGTAACTGGAAGTTTCAATCTTTTTTTTCCAACTTGGATGACAGAAGAAGTCAGAAAAATATTTATGAGATTGTGAAGACCAAGATATCATCATACTTACATTAGTTAACTCAAAGTATGGCCTCAAAGCTTTCTCCATTCCTTTCTGCATGAAAACAGTCCTTTCAGGGATCTCCCCGAGCAATAAGCGCACGATAACAGCCCACTTGTTGCATTGAACTCTGAAACCAAGGGCTGCCATGGGGGCTTTGCGAGCTGCTTGAAGGAGAGACTCTTTAGCATCAGTGTATTCCAACTGAATAGTTCTGATCTTTCCAAGATAGAAAAGATACCGACAAAACTACAAAACAAAAAAAAAACAGATGCAAAGAGAGAAAGGATCAAACATCAGGTAAAACAGTTTTCTGAAACAAAGGCACAAATGGTGTTTAGATCTATACTGTATAGCATCATCTGTTAAAGCAAACATACCATTCCGAGCAGCGTGATATATAGATAATAATAAGTGGTTACCCAGTGACTCTTGACATTATTAATAGGTACTTATGACCTAATGCATATATAAGGGCATTTTGGATCATGGAAATTGTCTGGGCATTTTGATTTTCCTTTTAAAACGCAAAGAAAATGGAATATGATTTCATTTTTTATTGTTTCCTATATTTAGATTTGGTTTTTACTCTCTCCGTCCCAAAAGTTTCTCCTCACTTTCACTTGGAACACTTATTAAGAGGGTGAAGTTGTATCATTGTTATTAATATTAAAGAGAGAGAAACAACACCAACCATACACATCTATTCCACACAGAAAAAAGAAGAAAACTCGGGACATCTTGAAAAGGAAATGATGGGACAAACATCATAATAAAACTACAAATACAGAGTGAGTTTGATCTTTGAACAAATATCTCAAATAATTTTATTGAGTTTGACTATTCTCTATCCCCCTAATTTCTGACCTTCCTATTTTGGTCTTATTTTCGCTCCCTAGTACTTTTCACGTTACAAGGTGAAATTAAGTAGGAAGAGGCTAAAATTAAAGGATAACATATGTAGTACACGCTCATTTGTATCTATGAGCATAATAATATATGTGAATTCAGATACAGATATAAGCTCGATGAAGAAAACACAAGAACAATGATAATATGTAGAGTGTTGCCTGCTGATTTGAATGAGCCTCAAACCGAGGTGCTTTCGATCTAAACTTCTCTGCTTGATCATACAGGTTGTAGTGCAGGTAGTTCCTAAGTAACAGGTTAAGGATTGTTTCCTGAATTATAAGCACTAATGAGTCAGGCAAAGAAGAAACTGTCAACTAAATGAAAAGATTAAAGAGCCCATAAGCACAAACCTGGCCCAGCTCATCATGGCGCAATGTTGCAATCCGGTGCAAAGAAAGGAGATCACTGTAGGAAAAGAAAATTTCCAACTTTAAGAAGGATATGTAAAGAGCATATGAGAAGTGAAATAGTATCCAGAATTACAGATTTTTTTAGGGGTGGAAGAATTTATCATATATCATCACTCGTCAAGAAGTACATTTTTACTGCAAACAAGTCAACTGAAAATGGAGATAAAACTTGCCCTCTAATCTCAGCAAGATCACCGGTAAGTTCATAGCTCAAAGAGTAGTAGTAGTAGAGCCTAGAAGCTAGAACATCAACTGTCCTCCTGTTCAAAGTTTTTAGGCGAGCAATGCTTGCTGAAGAACAAGACTTAGCCTGGAGGTAATGTGAAGGGGAAAAATAGTTGGCATTTACCGTAGACAAGCAAACAACTTTTTTAGAACGAAATGCATGAAAGGAAGTCATGTACATGTAACCCTATCATACCTCATTGTACTTCTTTTGATCAATAAGAAAGATAACAACCAGTAAGTAACAATATATCTCAAGTTCTGGCACAGTGTGTTTTGCAGGGGTTTGAGTTGCTGAAGTTGCAGTATCAACTTCCATATCTTGCTCCTCCTCCTAGAAAGAATAATAAGAACTTGTAAAGTAAGCTTGCTCTCCACATGGAAATTTGTATTAGTACAGAGGGACAAACAAGAGCACTAACTACTGACTGAATACAGTAGCTTAAATCACTCATCTAATGAGTAAAACTGCTTAAAGTATCAAGCAGAGGGATCCAATTACTGATATTTTACATCAAGCTAAGTCAAGTAGAGAGAAATACCTATATACCCCACCCTTGACATTTAACATATAGTAAAACTGCTTAAACTATCAGGCAGCTTCTTAGTAATCTTGCGCTCCACATATCAATTCATATTAATACAAAGGACCAAACAAGCGAACTAACTACCAAAGACAGTAATTTATAATCACTCATCTACTGAGTAAGAATCCAATTACTGATAATTTACATCGACCTAAGTCCAGTAGAGACTAGAGAGAATATACTCAACTACCCTTACCCCACCCTCCACACTAAACATATACGGAGTAGTAGAATTTTGAAGGCATCAGGTAGGTTCCTGGTTTTCCATAAATTTTACACACTTTTATAAAAGTAGGAATGTGGAATAAAAATTACCGGTCCTGGTAGTGCACTCACAAGAAAGGAACCAATTATTATTCAATTATGGGGGATTGTTCCAACTCGGGAAAAGTTATTAAACTATATTACCTTGGGCAGGTAGGAAGATAGGCGCGTATGCACATCGGATTCAGGTGCAAGTATAAAATTGAGGAAAGAAGACAGTGTAGAAGCCTTAAGCTTCTCCCTCAATGCCATGGTTGACCTCACCGCCCTAGAAATCCTCCTTACCTCGCGAGAATATGCTCCAGTCTCAATAAGTGAAGCGATGTCCTTCAGATCTAAAACCACCACATTTGCACACATAATTTCATTCAATTAAATCCGAAACAAACAGAGTTCACCACTCAATTAGACTCCGGAAATGAACTTACTTTGAAAAACAGAGGGGGCAGCGGTGGGCACGGAGTTCGAAAGGGCCGGTTGCTGCTCTTTCATCTCAACGTCTTCAATAGTCATCTTCGGTTCTCCGGCTAAATCTGAGAAATCGAGGTGCTACTGAAAGTGATAATGTCTCCGGATGTTAGTTCGAAATCTGAGATGTGGGGAGAAAGATGAAATAGGGTTTCTCGAATTGAATCGTTAAAAGTTAAAACCAGCCTAGCCAGCGTCCTCTGCCGTGGAGAATAAACAAAGCCCTTCAAAACGTCAACGTATTGTTTAGTGTCATGTCCGATGTCCATACTCCATATTCATGTGTAACTTAGCATGTCAGTATTGAATACTCCGTAACAAAAAAAGTTACTAATTTGATTGCATATATTGCTAGACAAAATGTAGCAAAAATGTCTAGTTATTTCTACTCCGTATTAGATTAGAATAAAAGAAAAATTCACAATGATCGTTTTTCATATTAGTTTTAAATTTTGATTAAAAAATCGATTGGCATGCTCAATAATATCACATATAAAAATAATATGCCTAATAAGAACAAGTGAACAACCAAAATTGATAACTACCAAATGTAAAGTTTCATTGGCTACAATGAATGTCAAATCAAACCAACTAACACTATATTATATAATTTCAAAAGAAAATTTCTGTCATATGTCATCTTCTAAACAATTCTATATAATCACAATTTCAATTTTCGAATACTCTTTTTTTTGGTCCCGGTCGGCAAACCACCAAAATTAGTGGGGCAAATGCCGGGAAACATTTGCCGGGTTTTATTGAAAAAAGAAAAGAAAAGAAACGATTACACAAGAGGGGGACTATACCAATACCTCTTGCAAATGAAACCAAGAATGCAAAAATTATACAAACCTTCTAAAAGAAGGATAATTAAAGTAATCTAGAGTAAGTGCAATTTTAATCGGGCCCGGTAGAGAATCCAAATCAGTCCAAAACGTGAATTGGGCGGGAGATACATCTGCGAGCAAATGAGCGGGTTCATTCCCCTCTCTCAGAACATGCTTGAAACAAATCCCTTTCCTAAAATAATCCTGCCTGAACGCATCAATTTCTTCTTTCCATCGGCCAAATTTCTTACCTGAAACGTAATCAAGGATCTCCTCAGCATCGCTTTCGACTTGAAAATGATTATAGCCTTCAAGTATCGCCCATCGCGTAGCTTTTATCACCGCCAGAAGTTCCGCTTCGAAGCTGGAGAAGGCGTCAATCGGAAATGAAACAGCTGCAATCATCCGGCCTTGCTCGTTTCTCAGTACAGCTCCACCTGATGCTCTGCCAGGTATGAAAGCAGCATCTACATTGAGTTTATATCCTCGCTTAGGCTTAACCCAATGAACAGGCTTAAGAATCTTCTGTGTTAGTCGAAAATTGGGAGGAATGAAGTTTTCTTCGAAAAGAACATTGTCAATAGCTCTAAACTTCATCTGATTTAGACTTAACACCCAGGACTGCGTATAAAGTTTAATTTTACAGATTGTCATTTCAATGGATGGTACAACCATCTGAGTCCCCCAAATTAAACCAGAGTAAATCTTCCAAATGTGCCAAACTATGATTCCTGGGAGATTATGTCTAAAAACATCAATCAGAGATTTGTAACCTGCTTCGAACCACATGAAAAAAATATGTCTGATAGATTGAATAGTGTTAGATACAGGTATACTCAAAGCCTAAATGAAGTAATTCCAGATAGCCCTAGAATAAGAACAACCATAGAAGACGTGATTAGTAGAATCACTATTACTCCTACAAAGTGGGCAAATAGAGGGCTGAATCACCATTTGGAACCTGCCGAGGTTGTCAAAAATAGGCAGAATACCCTTAAACAGCTTCCAAGGGAAAATTTTCACCTTAAGTTGTTGATTTGGATGCCAAATATGCTTAAAAGAGAAAGCTGCTCCCTGACTGTGTCTTATATAATTATAGGCAGATTTGAAAGAGAACTGACCATCATTTGAATGTTTCCAGGTTAATTGCTGAGCAGAAGAATCCACTAAAGAACTTGCCAGATAGGTGAGTCATAAAGCTCAGGTATCATGTTTTCTCCTCTGATATCTATCCTTCATAAACTGAGCCCAGTAACCTGAAGATGACTTAATCTTCCAACATAATTTTAAAGAGAATGTCTTCTCAATATCATTTAGAGAGCGAATATCAAGATAACTAGTAAGGACCCCACCAAAAAATAAAATATATTTTTTGTATTCTGATCGTTACAAAAAATATATCAAAATTTATTATTTTTTTAATCTTTTATATGGCACCAATATTGGATATATATATAAAAATTAACACTTTAAGATATAAGTTTCTTTAAGTGTTGTATCTTTTTATTTTAATTCGATTGTTACAAAAAATATATCAAAATTCATATCTATTTAATATCGATGTTGCATGTATAAAATAATAAAATTTAATTATATTATTTTTTTGTAATTTGGGATCATTTTTTTATAGTGCACACTTTTATTTATTGTTTTATTCTTCGGTTAGAATTTGTGCAGTTTTACTCTAAGCCATATATTTTGATCGAGAGTTTCAGCTCTAAGAAAGTTTTATTAATCTATCTATAAATAATACGATAGTACATTTCACCACAATTACATTTTGGGAAAGTATTGTCATGTGTCAACACAATAATAAGCCTCTTTGAATAATTCTTATGCTAATTTTCTAATTCGTATAAACAAGTACAATTGTGAATATATAGAACCCATATATGATGCTACATATGTAAACACCATGTTTGTTTGTATTTAATTGTGATTGAATTATGTTCAATCACAAATTCTTATAACTATTAACTCATGAGGGTTAATTGTGTATTAGAATCAGCAACTTGCATTTTAGTTTTTTGTACGATTTTTGTCTACTACCCTTGCAGGTCAGATCTGTTTATACATGCACGCTCTAAGAGGGGAGAACCGCTCATCCCTCTAAAACTTGAGATTGAGAAGCTTGATATACAGAACTGCAAGGCTCAAAGAGAAAAGAACTCAACCATGGAACCGTCATCATCTGGAACTGCAGGGACGTCTGAGGACCATACCACTTTTGGTAATCTTGATTTCTACATCAATACCTCACCCCAGTTTTCACCGCCTATTTCACCTTGACGCCTTCTCCGCTTTCAAAATTTCCGCACTCCACTTTTCTCCCAAAATCAATCCACCCCACAAATCAATCTTCCCCTTTATTCTGACTCTTTCAAAATGCCTCTACTGCTCCTGAAACTACTTTTCAGAACCAAACTTATGGGATGCAAGGCATAGGGCAAAACATTCCGACGTTCCAACCGAGACAGAATCCACCATCAGTCACTCAAAATTCATTCCAAAATCAGCCCTTTCAAAACCCGTTCCAGAACCAGTACCGCCAGCCACCCCAAGTACAGCCCCCACCGCAACTTCAACCTGCAAGCATTAATTTGATGTCGTATGGTTTGCATGAGAAGTTTGGACTCGGTCCACTTAAATCAACACGTATGTGCATTCAGCTGGCTGACCGTTCAGTCAAATATCCCCAAGGGATTGTTGAAGACATGTTGGTTAAAGTGGATAAGTTTATTTTTCCTGTGGACTTCGTTATTTTGGACATGGATCGAGATCATGAGGTACCTTTGATTTTGGGCAGACCATTCTTGGCAATTGCCCGTATGCTTATTGGTGTTGGAGACGGTAAGCTTGTCCTCCGCGTTGGGGGTGAGACTGCCACCTTTGATATGTCCAAAATAATGAAGATGCCTTGTCAGGATAGTGGAGAATGTTTTTTATATGGATGTTGTTGATTCTATGGTAGAGGATTGCGTTCCTAACATGATTTCTGATGAAGTCTTCTTTGATCTTCTGTTGGATGAGAGTTTGTCAGCAAAGGATCTTGAGCTCCTCCCAAGTTTTGATTGCCATATGATTAGTGTGGGGGAGGACTCGAGTGATGCTAGTTCTGTGCAGGGGAAGGAAGATGATTTGGATAGATGAGGTGGAGAATGAAAATTTTCAGACTGATTCTTCTTTTATTACCCATTCTCCATTAAATCTAAAGTCTCTTCCATCCCACCTTGAGTATGCTTTTCTTGGTGATAGTCCTGACCTCCATATTATTCTTGCCTCCGGGCTTGAGCCATCCCAAAAATCAGCATGTCTTAATTTATTTAGTGAGCAAAGGGAAGCTCTAGCCCGAAAACTTTTTGACATGAAAGGAATCAGTCCTTCTTTCTGCACTCATAAAATTTTGATGGAGGAGAACGCTAAACCGGTAGTGCAGCCGCATAGAAGACTGAATCCTAATATGCAATATGTGGTTAGGGAGAAAGTCATTTGTCTGTAAGATGTGAGCATTAGTTATCCTATTTCATACAGCCATTGGGTCAGCCCGACCCAGATGGTCCCCAAGAAAGGGGGGATGATTGTGGTTAAGAATGAGAAAGATGAGTTGATTCCTATGTGTATGGTCACCGGATGGCGGGTTTGCATTGATTACCGGAGATTAAATGTCGCCACTCGGAAAGACCACTTCCCCCTCCCCTTTATTGATCAGATTTTAGAGAGGCTAGCAGAGCATAAGTTCTACTGTTTCCTTGACGGGATGTCGGGATACTTCCAGATCCCCATAGCCCCCGAGGAATAGGATAAGACCACGTTCACATGTCCATTCGGTACTTTTGCCTATCGGAGGATGGTGTTTGGATTATGTAATGCATCTACTACCTTTATGAGATGCATGCTTGCTATTTTTGAGGATTTTATTGGGAAGTTTATGGAGGTCTTTATGGATAATTTTTATGTGTTTGGTGATAGCTTTGATGAGTGATTAGAGAATTTGAAGAAAGTCCTGGTTAGGTGTTGAGAGGTGAATTTGTGCTTAATTGGGAGAAATGCGACTTCATGGTTAATGAGAGAATGGTCTTAGGGCATAAGATACCGAGTAGGGGGATTAAGATTGATTCAGCTAAGGTAGATGCGATTAAAAAACTGTCCCCCTACCTCAGTCCGTGCTATTAGGAGTTTTCTAGGCCACACACGTTTCTACCGTAGGTTCACCCAGGACTTTCTAAGATAGCCTGATCCATGACTAAGCTCCTTGAGAAGGACACACCATGTGACTTCTCAAAGAGTGTTTAAAGGCTTTTGAGTGCTTGAAGGAGAAACTTGTCAAGGCACCGGTGGTAGTCGCTCCCGACTCATCATTACCTTTTCAGATTATGTGTGATGCTAGTGATTATGCGGTAGGAGC